AGCCTAATACTCTAGCATCGATCATGCTACCTTGTGCGTAAAAGAGGTAAAAAGTTGATTATTAGAAGTTATAGTCTGTTAGAAACTTCTGAGCTCAATATACGCTCTTTATAATTTTGAGATCTCCTTAGACTAAAATTTCAATGTACAAGCTCATAAGAGATATTTCACGAGTAAATTTACTAGCGCTGAAGTTAAAGGGATCAGTTTTATTGTAGAGTTGTTAGAATCCTATCCTTGATAATATAAATATTATCCAGGAAATTACACAAGTATACCACATAAAGAGTACATGATTACAGTATAACTGTTTGTTCATAGGTTCCAGTATAGCTACGCTTCTTTGATCAAAAACAAAGACAAATTCGTTCTTTGCCTCTCAGGTCTTAACAACTTATAAGGCTGCTAGCGATTAAGAGTATAATTGGTGTAAGTTTAGTTCTAGTGAGCATTTCGCAATGGGACTACGTCAGCTGCTATTATGTTAGCCATTGTGAGGGAATATTCAATTTTGTTTAAATATACAGATTTTTTCCTCATTTATCTAGTCTACACAGGATCTGCTATTCGAAAAACTCTTCACTCTGTCCGGCATATCGTTCATCTATTCACGATTTCTCAGGTTCCATCTGATCTTGTCCATCCATCTCATTTTTGGTCTCCCTCGTGGTCTTCTAAATAGTACTTTTATTGATAGAGCCATCCTTGGTTCTTCTCTCCTACTCACATGTACATACCAGCACAAACGCCTCTCCTGCATCTTTCAAACGATGGAGCAATCTTCTTTTTTAATTTAACCTTGTCGTTACAGATGTGATCCTTTATCGTGAGAAGTAAGGTCCATCGCAGTATCTCAGTTCCATGACACCGAGCTTGTTCTCTTCTTCTCGCGTACTCGGCCAACATTCACTGCAATACAGTACTGTCAGATGAAAGTACGGTATATCCTTGACGATGACACGGCATTCGTTTGTCATAGAACGCCTGTCAAACTCTTCCGCTTCCACGGCTGTTGTTGCTGCGTTGTTCTAGTCAACAGTTTATCTCTAATTCCTTCTTCTACGTATATGTAGCTTTCCGAATCCTTTAAACTTTGCTTTCGTTATTGGCCCTGATTTGACCTCTTAATCGTCTTCTTCGTGTTGAGGTTCAAGACGTACAGTCCTAGTTAGTTCTTCCACCTCCGCACCTCTTCTCCAGTTCCTTCTTAGCCTCTGCCATCAAGACCACATCATCCGCACTGGGGTGAATATAAGATGTCTTTTGAGGCTTTCTGTTGCTGTGTTTAACACTGTGAAGAGCAAGGGAAGAGCAGCGAACCTTGATGAACTCGACGTGAATGCAAAACATTTTTGAGTGGCCGGCTACTGCCTGCACATGGCTGGTGGCTTCGGAATAGATCATTCTGATACATTTGGTACATTCTTCCGGAACCATGCGTTTTCTCAGCGCCCACCATATAACGCTATTCGTTTTGTCGCTTTTTCTATGTCCAGGAAAAAAGCATGCAACCCTTTTTGTTTTTTCCTAAACTTTTCCATCACTATCCGGGCAGTATGGATGGTGTCAGTAGTACGAGAACCCTTTAAATTCTTTATAGAGCCGCGTGACTTGGTGACAACTATGTAATTTATTAGACTCGGATATGATTTCAAAGATTTTCAGATATGATTCATCAGCCGGCATTCGTTACTACTCTCTGCGACATTACCTTTGTTCTTCCATATTGGTATCGTTGTACTGGCGGACCAAGAGGCATTTTCTTAGCTTTAACAACCTGATTGAGGAGACTCAAGAAGCAAGAAACGTCATGCTGTCCACACTTTTTCCAGAACTGGCTGCTATCATCTGCACCAGTTGCCTTGCCATTTTTCTTAGCTTAGCAATCCAGACTTCCTAATTTTTGATATATTGCATATTCTGTGGTACGTCTACAGGACTACCTGAGACGATGTCGCTTACAGTGAACTCCGTAGATGCTATTATCTCTTTGAAGTATGACCGCCACCTTTCCATAATGTGTGCAGTCTTCTCAAAATTCTTCCAAATTTGTTTGTCTCTAACTTACATTATCCTTCTCCACTATTTTTGGTACCAAATTTGGGCATTAGCAACTTAGGGCATAAAGTTAATGTAAAGGACCCCACCCTGAATCTACTATTTGACCTCATGTGAAGAGTTAATGTAATCTTCAAATGATAACCTTTTATAGC